ATCTGCTCCACACACAAAAATACACGGACGTACTGGTCTACAACTGTGGTCTACGCAGACTTATAAATATGGAGCTGCGCACGGACCCTCACGAACACCGGTAGACCCTCGTGGACACTATAAGTAACACTTTATAGGTCATCTACCGACGCACACGTTGATGATGGTGGACACAAGTACACACACTGGTTTCTCAAAAATGATCAAATCAACAAGAGTAATATAAAACTTATTTTATATAATATATATATATATTTTAGTGTAAAGTTAAGAAGACAGATGTTTCCTGTATGTTCTCTTTAGTACCTAAACACACATACAGAGGCGATTAAGGCTGAGGATATGTGGAGAACTATTTCATCAACATCTTTTACTTGAGATAAAAAAGCTAAAATTTTTAATCACTGAAAAAAATGTATGAAAAGAACAGATGGCGGATGGATTCACCAGACAGCCTTACACGTAAAAACCACAGCAACTGAATTTAATGGTGTATAACCCTATACTGTACTGTATATCAGATCATTTAAGGCCTTAAACCTAGTTTTCATTTTAAAATGTATCTAGGACTTGTAGACACCATTGCCTATGTATCATGGCCATCTCTTCAGTGTTATAGGTGGTTTTGGTTGTGTTCACCAGGCCGTGAACATGAACAAAACAACTTTCAGTCAATCTGGGAAAATATGCACTTACTGGTGCAAGAGGGCTGCTGCGTGAAAAAGAAACACCTGGCTGGTTTCTGTTGATGTTATGCATCTTCCCAACACCTCTGCTTTCAAAATACCAGCTCTTATAAATAATCAACACAACACACCTAGGTAAGACTTTGAAAATACTGGCCAAATTACAGCATTCTGGAGGTCAATCTTCCAAAGTTCAGTGAAAAATGAAGTTAGCTCAAATCTTCCATTGATCTGTGGTGAAAACTGAACTCCACTCCTGGATGAATAAGAGCTAAGCTTAAAGACTGTTATGTAGTCATGTATCCAGGTGACTTGTAATCTAGCTACAAAGCTTTGTTATGTTGAGTTAGTATGAGCTGGTTTTTATTTCTAAAAGACTCTCAGCCTCTCTCTCTCTATCACTTTTTCATATAGCCTCTGCTTTATCCCTGCTGTCTTTCTTATAAAAACACATTTAATTCACTTCCATTATCATCCCTGGGACTCATCTGTCCCTCCATCTATCTTTTAATAAAAAGCCCCACTCGTTCCAGTCACAGAGGCAGCCATTCATCCCCTCCTGTTTCTCTCAGTGTACACGCACTGCCAGACTCACAGTATACTGGCCAACTTGAAGGAGAAAAAAAAAAAACATACACATTTTAGGACACATACTTGTATTGCACCTTTTGTTGTTGCATAAAGCCTGTTCATTGCTTTATCTACCTTTGTACTTCAAGTAAATGCTGACTCAAATGGAAAGGTCACATGTTTTACCTGGATTCAATGGCTAAGTTTACGTTTAAAGAAGACAGCAGGTTAGCCTGATATTTCAAGCACTTATTTTAATCAACTACATTTATTCTGAAATTTCTAGCAGAGGCCATCATTTAATCTCTAAGTCAACTGTTCAGCAAAACACAGCAGCTCTGAATTACACGTTTCCATCCGTCAATATACCATTTCTGAACTGAAGCTCAGCCTACACAGAAAGGGTTACTTAAAAACCGCCCGGCATCACTCGATATGATGGAGGTACAACAGTTTGTATTCAAAACAATATCTTCTTTTGTTAAGAAGCTTAGGCCTGTGTAGTGATCCTGTTGTGGGTTTAGGCAGTAAGAGTTAGGGAAACAAAGCATGTAAAATAGGACGTCATGTTTCAGTAGAGTATACTGTACAATCCATGGGAACACATTACAGGCTATCTAACACATTTACATTTTCGGCATTTAGCCGGAACACTCACACACAGTGATTTCCTGCAGCGCAAAGGAAAGGTTAAGAGCGCACTGGTGAATCATCATAACTGTAAGGAGCCTGATAAAAGACGACAATAACAAGAGTGTCGAGAATTTTTACATTCAACAGATAAAGATCATGTTCATGTTACAAAACTAGCATTTCACCTTAAAACAAATTTAGACCTAATGATAATAATAATAATAATAATAATAATGATAGGTCAAATAAAACTACTTGTCCCTGGTTCTGTGTGTCTCAGCTCAATACAATATTTCACAATAGCCATATTTCTTAATCAAGGGGTCATAATCCAAAATGAGGCATTGGCCTACTTCTAGTGGGTCACCGCATGACCAAAGCAGCACTTTGTTTTAATATGATGTACTCTCAAAAGGTTCTCTTAAGTCCTCAGCTCAAATACTTTTCCAACCTTTAAAAGAGTGGGCCAAAATCAGATCTTGGAGAATGTACTTAATGTCGGTGCTAGAAATCTGACATGACATGTAAAACAATACAATATTTTATCATTTGAAACCAAGTTCTCTTTTTTAAACACTAAAAGACACTTTTAAATACTATTTTTTTACTGAATAGTGTGCAGTAGACAGCTCAGAGCAGAACTGAGATAACATCCAACACATGGCCCCAACCATGCTCGAATCAGGAGGTTGTTATTACATGGTCAGCATCTTAACAACTAATATATATATATATATTATATATATATATATAATATTATATATATATATTATATATTTTAGTATATATATGATATATATATGGAGAACACCCAAAAAATAAAAGTGTACTACTGATATGCTTCCACTTTAAGTTGCATACAGGGAATGCCTTTGTAACTAGCATTAAAGGTCCAAGTACTGTGCCTGTAATGTGTGTCTTATTGTTCTGGAGGATTGTTCAGTTTGCAAAGGCTGAAACATATTACAACCAAGGTTGGGAAATGTGTCATCTGTTGGAAATAACTAAGAATATCCATCCCTGCTTTGCAACCCCCGGAGTTTAAAAAGTTATTTTGGTGTTTTCCTCACCAAGACCAAACCTGTTTTGTAGCATGTGCCGTTGAACTAGTGGCACTCATAGTACTCTTATACCTATAGGCTACAACAGTGGTCAGGCAAAGAGCACATGATGTCTTTCATTATACAGGCTGTGTTGTTCCCCACAGAAGTGAATGTCCCCTGGGGGCAGCGTACACAAGCCTGGCCGGTTAATTCTACGGTCATGGATGTCATGTGTGTGACTAAGCATTGAGGCAAAACCTTCCTACCTTAGAGCACAGCAGTAATCAGCTCCCTGTCCCTTTATTGCCACCTTGGAACGAGGTGTGGAAAATGCTTAACAACTGATCGCTAATCAGAATGTATTAGGAGAACCTGCTTTCATGCCGTCCACTAGGCTGGAATTTGAACGGGCGTAAAATCAAGTCATAACACACATCTGTTCGCCTTCCACAATCATGTCACGCACCACATACACCTCAAAGAGACAACGTGTGCAGCCGCACATACACAGCGCTTTCTCAACGGAAGGTCACAGCTGTTTGACCAGCAAGCCAAACCCCCACTGGTGTGCGCAATAGAAACAGAAAACTGTAATCCCCCTTTACCCTGAGCCAGCTTGTACTCAAGTCCACAAGGCTGGCCAATAGTTACTTTCAGCAGAGATGAACACATTTGTTATATGGGGCACACAATAAATATGGTTTAACTATCAAACTGAGCAAAACAAAACAACGTTCAAAACAAAAAAATACTGTCCGAGTTGCAGAAATAAGATGAATACCTAAATTCACAAGGCTGTTTACTATTTTACACAGCCCGGCCTAACGCGATAACTCCACCAATGATACTGACCAGCAAAGAAACGGCGAGCCATAATCACACTTAGGACTGGCTTTTTGCTTTCCACACAAAGAAAAACGTGAAATTCTGTCATTATCTTTAAAAAAAATGTTTACGCAGGACAACAGTGAGTTTTAGAAGCTAACACCTAATGACAGATTCACAGATCATTCACAATGGATAACTCCATTGAGAAAACACAGAAGACCCATTACAAGGTAACAGCTCCAGAGCACACTGATGTGATCTAGGCCAGCAGCATGCTCTAGCAGCACGTGGAGAACCTGAGTTTTGATTGGAGCCACTTACATCTCCTGCCAAGTCAGTCAAACACCAGGGGATTGATGCGAAAACAACATGGCAAATCCACTTTTACTTTAACCATGCAGAACCATGACAGTTAGAGCTACAAAGCATATATATATATATATATATATATATATATATATATAGTTACATAGTTCATGAACTCTTGAGTTTAAATGCTTATACTATGGCTCAGAAAAGACATTATGTGTGGACCTATTTTAGTTTCTGGTAGCACAGACTTAGCTTTCAAACCATGTCTTCTTAAAATGGTACCAGCATCAGCGTATCTCTTTTTTTCCCCAATCCCTTGTAACTATAGCTCACAGTGTATCTGTAGTATGCCTGTTGTTTCTTTACAATGCTAGAATGGAGTACAGGACCTTTTCAGTTTCACTTAAGTGTAAAATGTGAAACGATTTGACGAAGGTCTGTGTAGTCTGCATAATTTTGCCTTTGCACATTTTAATATTTTCACAGTTTCTAAAACAATTTGGAAACTATGTTTAAAACAATGAAACCTTTGAAGGCCTTGAAATGTGATAGTTCAAATTAAAACATATATATATTCTCTTAGATCCTTTAAGACGGGCAGATAGATAATGAGAAAGGAGAAGACCTAGATTAGATGAGTGGCAGATGAGGGCTGTCGAGCTGAACTGTCTGCTCAATGGGATTTTCTGGGTGTAAGTGTGTGTGTGTGTGTGTGTGTGTGTGTGTGTAAATACGGCACTTAAAAGAAATCTGTCTCTAAGGGAGAGATGAGAAAGACCCTGACGACTCAGCGACAAGTCTTCAAGTTTCACCTTCACTTCCTAAACACATACATACGCTTGCTTTCATTCTGTGCCACCTCACTCGCTGCTCAACGCAACAGCAGACAATCAACAACAAACAACAAAACAACAAAACATCAACTTACGCTCAAAGTCAGAATCATCATCTTCGTCGTCCTCTCCGTTGGACTCTGTTTGCATTGGCTCCCCATCAAACATCACACCTTTCCCTGTCTTTCCACCAGCACTGGCCCCATCCTGACTTCTGGTGTCCCGCAAACGGGTGAAGTACTGTACTGCAAAATCCACCAGGTCTGACGGCCTTTGTCGCAGCACCTCCACAGTGTAGCCCTGCAGCAGTTCTGTCAACCCCACCGGGATCTCAATACTCATGGCTGTGCGTGGCTCAGTGGCGGCGTTTGCTATCTATCTGCAGGAGGAGAGAAAAGCAGTCAAAAGTGGACTTGGAAACAAAGTCACTTGTGTTTTTAGTGCTGGGCTGTGATGTGGTTAAGGAATGCCTTATTGTTGATTTGCACAGCTGACTTTGACTTTGACTATAACAGTACACTGTGTGCAGACTAAACATGTTAAGTGGAAGATGATGACAGCTCTGAACGGCAACAGGAATGCACCGGGACCGCCTGGATCACTGAAGAAGTGACCACCAGGTCTGCCCGCTGAACAGACACCGCACTGCCATTTATAAGCAAGGTAGTGTGATTCCGTACATGAAGTGTTGCGGTGACATTGTCACTGAGCGGCCACTTTATCTAGGGCTGTGCCCGGGAACACACAGTCCCCGCAGCTGCACCAAACAGATAGGAGCCCAACATGTCTTATGGGGGGAAACAGATAACCAATGACATTCGCTAGGGTTTGACAACATTGCTGCTTGCCATCGTCAGAAAATGAACTGTTAACTTGGGTGGGTGTCCGGCTGGAAGTAGCTAGCACAGCAGCTAAGTAGCTAACACTCAGAACCGCTTTACTGCGCTGCTCGAGCCTCAAGCGGACGAGCTGACCACTGAACTAGCTCAAGTTATCTAACTCACACGCACGGGAATGGGCGCAGGGATCGTAGCCGAGCTGCGTTTCAAGTGCAGTCTCACTTTCAACCCATCAGGCATTTGCTATCTTGCTAGCTCGTGTGCCACCTTCAAGGAAGCCTGTGCTGTTAGCTGACAGTATGGCGCACTGGCTGCAGGAGCTAGCGTTAAGCCACAGATAAAGCTAACTTAAGTGGCTGTCTGGATAACCGATGCCATGCAAGCACAGCAACTTGCACAGGACCGGTAAGCTGTTTGCTAAGCTAACTTAACGTTACCCAAACTGTGGCACTTACGTGAAAATCTTTCTCCCCGGCTAAACTAGCCAGTCCCCTCCTTCTCGGTGTCTTCCTTGTTGTCTCTTATTTCGCCTCTTCTTTTTAGCCAGTCTCTTTGCCAGTGTAGCGACCGTATCCCTCCACAGAAGACACTTGTCCGACGTTAAAGCCAGCAATTTTTCACGTTGGAGTCACCTAGCTAACGTTTAGGGAGCTGTTTTAGCTTCGCCAGCCAGCGGTAGCGCGATGCTGGCTGAGTTGAGAGGAAAAAGCACTCGACTTCACCGCTGCAGCTTCTTTACGACGTCCACGCACTCGGTGAGGGTGGGACTTGCTGTGGCAGTAGCGAGAGGTGGCTAGCTGGCAGGCTAACTGGCTGACTTGCTAACTACTTTGTTAGCAACTGTGTGTTTTCTTTTGGCGGCTGCCCAGCGACTCCACTCTCCTCAGGACACAGTAAGTCAGCTGCTGCAGCCAGGTGACAAATCCTGTAAAGCTCAGCGTTTAAAGCGTTGCGCCACACCGCCGTTAAGCACAACCCAAAGTACCGACGAAACCTTTATTTTGTGTTATTCCAGCAGTATGACGGCTAATTACAACGAGAGAAGCCTGTAAAAAAAATGACTGAAAACACGTTTCTTCCCTCCCGGCGAGGTACTCCACAGCTCTACACGCACGAATGAACCGCTGGCTCTAGCAAGCGTGAAGAGACGTGGTTAGTGAGCAGTAAGGGTTTGACATTGATTGACAGAAAGCTCGACCAATCAGCGTAGAGGTTTAGTATACACCAGCCAATTGGATGTAGTTATGTAAGTAGAGGCGGGACCCTATTCGTACACCAAGAATAGGACCACACCCACAGAAGTGGCTGTGGATTTAGAGGAGAGATATTAGAGCATAAGAAAAAATATAAGAGCTCGATGTCTCCTTGAATTAAAAACAAATTGGGATGTTATATAGAAAACAAAACATATATAACTGACATCTAAAAGGGGAAATGCTAAACTTTTATTGCACTTTAACCTGAGGAACCCATCACTTCAGCACAAGTGTTTTATTATTTGACTGAATCGTAACAAGTATCGATCCTCGATCATTGTGCCTTTCTTAAAAACCTTTCTATTGCATGTAAAAAGATTAAAAACCTTTTTTTTTCTGTGCTGTTCCTCTCCTTGCCCTCATCGCTCCCTCCCTTCCCTAACCTGCCATCCGTCCATCATCCGTCCAGACTTTCAGCACACCAGACAGCACACTCTGATCTTATCCTCTGAACTCATATATCGTGCAACCTTCGTGTAACCCTCTAAATCGCATTTCATCGGAGTAAATTCATCAGTCTGTTTTTCCTTCTATTTTTGTACACACAGCTTCAGTGCATTACTACTGATGATTCTTCCCCTTATCTCTTCGTGCTCTTGTTTACGTTGTTTGAATCCGGTCCAATCGACCCCCCCGCCTACTGAAATGAGCCAGTCCAAGTGGAGCGGGGTCACTAAGGTTGGATCTATAGGTACCTTTTCTAAAAAGTTTGCTAAGCACCACCACAGTCCATGTAGCATCTCCTCTCTTCCATTTCCATTCCTCAGCTGTCACAAAGGTAAAGCCGTTACCATGGCCACAGGGAGCCCGGCTTTAATTCCTCGAACCGGTTTCTGATTGGCTTAGGTCTTTGTTTCCAATAAACACAGAGGAAAAAAAGACCTCCAGGCTCCCTCTGCTGGGAGGATACACCTTAGAAATAACGCATTCCGTAAAACAAAACACACACAAAAAGTTTGCAACCAATCCCAAACCATGCTTTTTTTCCAAAACAAATCAATCTCTCCACCAAAATAGACCAACAGTATGACATTTCTCAGTTTCACAGGGTGGATGATGGAGGTTGATTACACTGCTGAAGTCAATTAGCTACTGTTCTCCCTTGTCATGAATAATCACCTGTATGTGCTGTATGCAACTTAGCCCGGGATAAGACTTATGTCTGTGTTTCCCCCTCGTGGGAGTGCATTTTTCTGTGGAAGGATTTCCCAGTGGACACACAGGAACATGTTCAAGTGGCAGCTGAAAGTGACGGATGAATATTCACATTTACAGTTGGGACTCTTGGTCTTGGCTTTCCAAGAAGTGCCATCCTTTGGGAGTTGCTGCTAATGTGGCTCCAGCAATCTCCAAAAATGTCTCAAGGAGAGCTGCTAACCTACATTTTTAGAGAGAGAGGGAATGAGAGAGAAAATGGGGCAGGAGAGAAAAAAGAAAGCAAGGGAGATAGTGAAGAAGATACTGTGTGTGTGTGTGTGTACAGTGTTTACTATAATGTGGATGTGAGTATATGCCGTGTGAGTTTATGTATCCCCTCCAAACGTATCAGTCTTAAACTGCTGACATGCAGCCAGTTTTCTTTTCAGTTGTTATCAGGTGTTACCGATCTACATCTACGTGTTGGGAGATTTACTGAGAGAAAACAGAGTGATGATGAGTACTGTAACATATGCTTGCAGTGATGTAGCTGTCTGGCTTGTAAACCCTGTTGCTCTTCACTCTGCCTCACCTGTGTGCAGTCAGTCTTCAAGGAACCAAATAAAAGCAGTAATGACTCAAGAAGTAAAAGTAAAGCCCTGTTCAGAGCAGTGATGGAACAAAACTCCACAAAAGATAAATACAGAGGACTGTGTGTTATCAAAACCAGTGCTTTGGAAACAACTGCTAGGGCTCAAAATGTTTAGAAAGATCTTATTACTTTAGGATCTCAGTGTTTGGACACTTAGAGTTAAGTCAGGGCAAATTCATGAGACTGAAAGGTTTGAGTTCCAAACCCCAAAAACCTGCAAGAAGAAATATAAATCTTCAGCTAAACCCTTGCTTCATTCATGCCCTGCATGTGTGTGTACTGATCTGGAAACAGAGCTCTAACGCTACATTCATACAATCTAGGTCCTGGGCCATCGTCAATGAATTGTGTGATGCAATACTCCCACCTACTGGATCAAGTGTGCTTTTTTTTAAATCTCTCAAACAACCAACTCGACTGCCTAAATGATCTGAACCATCTGTGTAATGTTACCCTGCATTGTTCTTCAGTTTTTTTATTAAAACGCAACAGTGTCACACCCATCTTACTCTGCCGTATGCATTACTGCATGAAAATGTTTCCACACTTCATTTTACCTGCAGCAGGAATCATTGAGTGGCTGGTCTGGTCCCACAAAGTATGCCATTAATAATAGTTTACTCTAATATTACTTAAATGAATTGTCTGGAAATAGGATGAAAACAACACCAGGTCAGATGTTACAAAGAACTTGTTTCCATGTGTGTTTATAATCTGTGAAAGTATTCCAGTCAGGCTGTACAGTTCAACAGTCATATAGTTTATTCTGTAAGAGTTTATGAACATTATGAACATTCTAGTAACAAGTAGTTTGACTTTCAGTGATTCAGAAGTAATTCCATTATTACACGTTTTATACATCTTATATACAATATTTTGTCACACTTGAAAAAAATTGTCCAATGCAGATACTTATTATGACGTGACTACGATGCGTCAGTGAAAATAAAAAAAAGAAAGAAAAGAAAAGCCAATGTTTATTATATAAATCTGAGTTAAATTAAGGTTTTAACATCTACATTTTGTCACATGAGAGTTAAGTATCAGCACTGGGCTATTCAACTAAAGTGTCATACAGTATACAGCAGACTGTTAAAACAAACAACACATTACTTTACAGGGAAGACTCAAGAATGTGATGTTTCAATATAACATTATGTGGTCCACTATGTGCTGCCTATACACACCAACTCCAATTGACTTGACACTTTACGTCAACATGTGATCATGTTAGGGTTTGATTTACATTCTTTTCCAATAATATAATGAAAAAAACATTATTTTCTCTATTACATTTATACTGTATGGGATGAGCACTGCTTTTCCTGTCAATAATTCATATGTCTTTCTAGTTTCTACATCACATAGCTGAGTTTTCCACTACAGCTGACTGACGATGCATTTAAGAATTTCCAAGACAATTAAGATCTTTACCTGTAACTATGGCCAGTATTTGTTTGTGCAAAAACTGCAGAGTAACTGCACAGTACAAGTACTGTAATGACAAACCATGTCTCCAGTTCTGCCAAAAATACAGAAACCAACTGCGAATATTTCAGAGCTATTATATTTTTTTCTTTAAATAAACACAAATCATAGTTTCAACATTGAAACACCAAAGAAAAAGTACAGCTACAGGCTTTTTTCAGGGTGGTCCAAAAAGTTTTTTTTTTTTGTATTATAAATCCCTTTGTTAATATCATGGGATGAACTGAACTTCCTGTTAACTGTTGGGAACCATTGGGAAAAAAACAGATTTTATAGTCATTATCCTATAGCAACCCAAGTAGTACAAATCCTTGTCTTTATTGTACGTATGTATTGTGTTTCTTGATACTGTGGGTGTCTTTAGGCAGACTAAAACGAAACAGGTGTTTAAAGGAGCTGGGAGGTATTTATGAGCTGTATCTCAGCCTACACGGAAAAATGTAGAAATTGTTTTTGACCCAAATCTGCTTAGACCTCTGATTGGACAGAAATTCAGACAGACACACATTAATCGAAAGAGACAGACAGGAGGAAGACAAGCAGACAGACACAATTACTGAACCAGAAACCAGAAACAGATGTGACGACAGACAGACAGAAAACCAGAGCAACGGAATAACAGAACAACAGCACAGTTCATCTATATCAAAACATGTACGCACACAAACACACTCAGATACCGATCATCATAATAATAAGGCACAAACAACACTAGACCACAATCCAAAAATAATCGTAAAATATATATTCAGATAAAAATCTCTTTAAATTGGGGGGAATTCTTAGTCAAATGAATCCGAGGCTTATTTTTCCCAGAAAAATGCTGCTGTTAGGAGAAAACCTGATACTTGCAATTTAGTCCTTTAGTATATTTTGACCAAATTGTCTTTTATCTGAGACGTAACAGAAGGTTTTATGAATGGAGAGCGCTACATTAAGTCTCTCACTCATATCCATGTCCATAATTTAAAAAAAGTAAGTTCCTGAAAAGTACATTTGGGAAAGAAGTACAAGAGTTTCCCAAACTTGTAGCAATATAACACACTGCTTGGTTAGATCCTGTCACAAAACAAAAAACATTTTAAGATCAGATGGTTTAAACATTCATTGTTCTGTGGCAAACTGCAACAAAACTTGAGTTTTTTATCAACACAACGCCGACTTAAACAGACAGTAGTAAAATACTCTCTGTGCAAAACCATGTTAGAAGAACTGTCATACGTTTTTGGGATTGCTGACTGTACATACAAACAACCTTGAACCAGGTTCCATCTCAAAAAGTATTATGGAGCTTCATGTAGCCGAGCATCAACAGTAGAAATTACATAATATGACTGAGCTATGGTATAAAAAGTGCCTTGTGATGATGTGTAATCAATATATAGTAGCATACATAAAAGTAATTCCTATAAATACTCACAGACAAGATAAATAAAATATTTGTAAAATATCTTGATTTCTATACTACTCTAAGTATTGTTAGCAATGCTATGCTATTAAACAGTTTACTACAATTATGTTCAGTAATCAAGCAGTCTGGCCATTAGAAATAAATCTCATCAATCAACACTGTTAATAAAAGCAGCAAGATTTGAATTGGGGTTTGTTCCAAAATGCAAAATCAACCATTTCAAATGACTGAAGTTTTTTAAGTTCTCAGGGGAGGAATTGGTGATACTTTAACAACCTGGATCTTCAGTATTTTACAGACATGATAAACTTAAGGTTTATTTTTTCATGCATTTACAGCATTTTGGAGAAGACCTGTTCAATTCTTGCTGTACACTTAAGCACTGACTCGAAACTTCCTGCAAACTCTGCACTGAATCTTTCCAGTGCAGTTTAATCTCATAAAATTACAGAAAAACTGGCCTGTGCCTTTTAGTCCTCTATCATATATAACAGCTCTTTTCTTAGAAACAGTCATAAAGTCGAGATAAAAAACACAAAAACGAAACAATGGCCCCATTGACAAAACTGCAGGCCAATTGAATTTCGCTTGGTAAGATTAGATTCAGCGGTTTCCTGCCTTCATTTATTTTCTCTCCCTAACTTAACATGGATCTTCTGTCCTAAATAAAAAAGATATTAACAGTCGAGTGAATTATTACATATTAACAGATCAATGCATCTGTACATGGCTATCTCTCAGTATGGCAAACCTGCATACGATTCATGCTTGTAGAAGTAAACTAGCCAGCAGAAAAAGATACCGGCATGGACAGGGGAGGCTTACAGTACAAGGCTTTCCACTGATTTTTAATCAAGACAAGGGATGGATGTGGGCAAAAATGCACAAATTCTCTAGAAAAAAAGAAACATTTTGGTCTGAAAAACTCCAAGAAAATGATTCTTTGCTAAAACGTTAATAGTGTGTTTTCAGTACAAACAACAGAGCAGCCTGATTTGAATTCAGTGAGTGTTTGCAGCTCTTATTATTCACTGTGAACTGATGACAGTAATTGTGTGCTCTCTTATCTCCATGCTCACACAAAAGGGAATCCTCAGAGCAGCAAAATGGACAACCAGCTCTGAAACCAACGTCTGTTGTACGTCCTGCACCATTAACAAACATTTTTTACTGGCTGATGTCTCTGGAAAAAAAAACAACCCTGCTGCCATGGTTACTGACAGCTTCTCTCCTGTCTTTATCTCTCTCTTCTCCTCTCACTCATTCTTCACCTCTCTCCGCCCCCATAGCTAAGGATAGCAGTAATATGCACTCATGTAGTCTGACAGGTAGAGCTTTTGAAATTTACTGTTACATAGCAGGGGTGCTATTAGGAGTTTGAATACAACTGGGACTCTGTAGCCTTTGTGTGCCCTGTGCTTGCTGCAGCCCAATCAGGGGTCCATTGTGTTTGAAGTGCTTGTGATATAAAGCCCTGCAGTTGTGGTTGAGGTTAAGGGTCTGATTCCCAGTGGGACTGATGAACACATCACACCTTAAGCTATGACTTGATGTAACCTGATATTTGGTCTGGTAAAATGTCTTCTGATGCCTGAGAAAACAGAGAACTCCCTTCTTTCTCTCTTGTTTCCCTTTTCTTTTAAATGGGCTTCTATGTTGTTTAGGTCTTATGTATGCATTGTAGGCATTATGCAAAGAACTCTGAGTTGCATTTTGAGAAGGGATTTTATAAACTTGCCATGCTTTGCTTTTCTTTTGATCTCCGTTCGTTAATGTCCAATTGTTGAATGCAACTCAGTAGGTTCACTCCGTACCAAGATCAGAGAACAGTTTGCAAACATCAGAGACAATTGAGATAAAAATAGCAAAATACATCAGAGCTGGAAAGTGTCTGCAGAGCATGTTGGCAGGCGAGCAATTTTTGGTTAAACTCTTGCATACACTCTCAAAAGTGTCAGCTTTTTGAGTTCATGAAGCCATTTAGTGTGTAAGATACAGCATAAAGCTGAGCAGTCTGTGGCAGGTTACATGATGGTTTCCCTGTTACATGAGCGGCAGCTCTATGACTAATTATAGAACAAGAAAAAAAAGCTGAACAGTAACAAAATGTAATGTAACCTGTTGCTGTTCTGATAATTGACCACTAGGGACAGTGTGGGTGGCTGGCAGTACAAGTCCTTTGAATCTGTAGTAGAACAAGGGGCTCTGTGATGGACAGAACAAAGAGCGCTGGTCACCACAGCAACTTAAAAAAAAGGTGGCGAAACAGGGTGACACAGGGTGAGAGAGGGAGAGTGAGAGAGGGTAAGAGTGAGGAAATAGAAGGTTAAACAGACAGAGCAGGCATGAGGCCAGAAATTCATCTCATTCTATCAGTCTAACTGTGATCACCCTGGTTACTACACATGTAAAATGGAATTAAAAAGAAAAAATACTGTGCCGCCAGCCTGCTGCCGTGGTTACACGTGAGTAACGGTCACCGTGGATACCGCTCTGTGCTTCCCTTACTCTCTCTGCATGAGTCCCTTTGAACTCTGGCTGATACAGAAAAAAAGCCCCTAAAAAGCCAAATCTCTTGGGTCTCTCTCCAAGCACTGCACATAGCTGTACTTTCTATAGGACATGCATGATGTCTGAAGTCAACAGACAGAGACACTTGCTGTATGTCTGAGTTTTGCTACAAAGATCAAAACCTTTGACGCCTTTCCATGTTTAGAGTCGGGGGTTGGCTGAGAACTCGTGCTGCAGAAACTTTTTCATGCTTGAGGTGGAAAACACTTAGCGATACCTGCTAATTACAGTCTAACCTCACAATATAAAAAGGTGAGCTCAGTGTGTCTGTGTAGATTATAATTACCAGCTACCGAAAATATACGCTACCATGACATTATTGCTATTTGAAACTGGGTTTTGAGAGCACTATGAGAGTTTACTTTGAAAACACATAAAGAAAAAGTAAAACATGAACTTGACCCCTGCTTTAGCCACTATTACTGTAAATGGGGTTCAGAGGTTTGAAAGCACTTTTCCTGTTTGCTAGTTGGCCAGCACAAAACAGGCATCCAGGGCTGTACACAGACCTTTAGAAATACTGAGGTTACTTCGCACCAAAATTTAGTACGTTTTTCAGTAGAGAACACATCACTATACTGTCCTCAATGGTAGCAATTAGCCTGAATGTATTTATTATTTAAAGTGGGTGATTTTTTAACATTAATATACATGGGCCCTATGCTAGATTGCTGTGGGTTTTAGGTGCAGTCCTCAATGGTGCTTTTGAATCCAAAAGTTTATTTCTCAGTAATACCACTTTCTGAAATGCAATTCCTCTACAGGACATCCTGTTTTCTCAAAACAATCATGAATACGGCATTGTTCTGAGATAGGAACTGGATTCCCGCTGTGGCCTCCCATGCTAGAAATGTATGCAGCCATATTACTTTAAGGTGGTTTGGATGAAAAGTGTCCACCAAATGGCAGATGTGAACAGAGGAGGGCTACTCTTTTGTCCACAGTAACAGAGTGATGTGTCCCTTTCATTCTCCATCTGGGCCCCTGTCTGCAGTCTGAGCTTAATGAAGTTATGGCTCAGGAGAAAGCCTCTAACAGTGAAGTCAACTATGACCCTAAAGGTCAAAAGTCACATAGAGGGGAGACCTTTTGACCTTCACACTCTCCTCCTAACTCCCACCTGCAGAGAGAGATGGAGCAGCTTTACCTGGTTAATTTGCGTCCTCTTCATTCTCCTACTCTCTTAAATAGACCCACTGAAAGACATATATTACTTAACATGGAAAGTCATTGTGTCTATTGGTCCCTCAGTTAATAAGCTGTGGTGTTCTCCTTTGACTATAAAAGGAAAATAAATACAATATCACTTCATAGGTGGTAAAAAATATACAAGATTTGAAATATTTGGCCACTTAATTTGTAAAACATGCCAAATGAATATAACTATTAGGACTAGATTTAAAATTATAATTTAGGCTTAATTTAGATAGATAAGACCAGATCTCCATATTTAATGTATCACTGCCAAAAAAAGGGTCAGGAGAGGAGAGGATTTGTAATATATACACAGAGTCACATGTGCTTACAGTTTAAGTTTCAATGTGACTCTACAAGAGCTGCCTGCATCTAAAGTGGTATTTTAGGTTATTTGTAAAACAATCATGGAGGAGGCAAAAGAGGCGGAGGAGATTTGGAAGAGAGTGTGTGACAGTTCCTCCTGAGCTGTCAAATCTGAACCAGGAATAGAAACTGCTTCCAGGCAAGCACTAACAAAACTTTCTCACTGAAAACTTGTATTCACTTATATTGTCTATTACACATCTACTGACACTGTGAAGGCAGAGAAGCAGTGTGAGGGCCTAGCTATCAAGTATTCACCCTAAGCTCCAGCTGATCCGGACCTCTGACCTGTCTGTGAATAGTGGATGAACAAAAAGGAAATGCCCTTGTGCAGATCAATATTGTATAACATTACTTTTGTCATTACTACTATCTGGCCTATGTGTATAAACATGGAGATGCAAACTTCATTATTGCACTTTGAACCCCAGCATACTGTAGCTTAAACTTTACTTTAATTGAGCTTTGCTTTAGTGAGGCGCACCTAGAGGTGGAAGTGGTTTCTGACCCCCATCATTCAATTTAAATCAGTGTAACTTGGGCTATTTGATAGGTACACAGGAGAAGTGGATATATAGTAGAGCAATATATGCCCGGAGGATAAAGTCAGTAAACTTTTTATACAGAGAAAATAGTCTGTATGCCCAGGTGTATTTCCCAGACCAGAGAGTGTAATGGTATTGTTATGCCTGTCTGGAGAGTGAGCAGGCCTCTTGACGACGACGGCTGGCAGTTGCCTGTGAGAGCTGACCGGGATTGTCCAAGTCAAGAGTCTAGGAGCCTTGCGGTTCTGGAGATGTCGTGGCGGGGAGGCGCTCTGTGATCCAGCTGGTCACCTCCTTCAACACGGACTCAGCTACCTCGGGGAGGTCGTGGTGGAGGGCATGGTAGCCTCCCTCGTAGACCTGAACAGGAGCAATAAGACAGAGTGTCAAAGAGATGGGATGCGCAAAAGGTGCAAAAGATAAGTAGTTAGTTTGAGCTGAACACCAAATAAATTGTGAGTGTCCGGCCTCTTTTAAACAAACTGCAGTCCAGGTTGTCAGGAGTTCAGACAAATTTATCATGCTTAGCGACACATACGGGGAAATACTATAAAATAAATTAAACAGATGCTTTTCTGTGATCAGCTGATTTCCAGATACTATTTGTTCTGATCTGGAAAACCAGGCATCAGCACAACAGTCATCTCTTTCATAAGACATGTGATAAAGCAGTCCCTGCACCTCATGAGTCCCATAATGCAGCTAGAAAAAAAGGACATCCACAAAGATATGAAGCAAGCAGGAACTCACTTTAACTCTCTTCTCCGTTTTCAACACTCTCACCTGTTATTTCAGTTTTTTTTCTCTCGTTTTGTCCCTCATGCATTTAATCATGTGATAAAAGAGTGGGTGGACTTCCTTTTTTACAAATTCACATCCTTCTGCAGAGGAGGAAGAATTTATAGAGGTCAAAGAAGCTCCAGTCGGTCTGTCATTGAATGCATCCTGCTGCAGTCAGCTCTAGGTGTGGGTGAAAGTTTTAGCTAAAAGGTATTTATTTAATAATAGTTTTAAACTATGTTAGGCACTGACCGTTTGCCCCTTAAAATGAATATATTAAACTGGATTTTTAGGTATCAAAGGACAACAGTTCATTTCTTTAAAGTTGCAGTTACTGTATTAGTCACAAAGACGTTTTGCTGGGCCCTTGAACTGTAGCAACTTCTCATACAGCCAATGAAGACAGTGGTGTGATACATTATTACATTGTTTTAATAATGTATGTAACAACAACAAAAGAGTTTTAACAAAAGGAACAGTGTGAACAAAATGAAGGAGTGGCTGCTTGATACAAGTTATATATCACTTCATATCATCAAAATCATTGACATTTCCCTTGAGCCCAAACCATCCCCACCTTGATTTTCTTGTCAGAGCTCGGAGCGTTCTCGTGCATCATCTTGGAGCCTCTGATGTCGCAGAGTTTGTCAGCGTCGCCGTGCAGGAGCAAGAAGGGCCAGCTGATAGATGGGATCTCCCTCTCGATACGTGCCGCCGCCCCCATCAGCTGCATGCCGAACGACACCCGCATGCCGCCGTGAAAGTTCAGCTCATCGGCATCGTACGCCTCCACCTGGCGGGAGAGAGACAAAGGAATGAGTTTTCACATATGTCCAGCGCTGACATCCCAAGCATATATTGATATATGTGATTGTTTCCATGCCACCATCTGGCCACCCTATGAATATTTCTCTAGATCCACCCCTGCAGGGCAGATTCTGATGTTAAGTTCCCTTTTCTTTTGTTGCTCTTCTGTTTCTTTGAGTTCATTTTGACCCTTTTGCTAAACACAGAATCAACTCAACAGGGCAGAATGTTTCCTGTCTGAGAGGTTAATTATCCTCTGATAATGAAAGGATAATCATCTAATCAAAAACTGCATGTTTTTCAAATTTCTTAATGTAGCCATAGCAACTACACTTTGGCAGGACATATTTTGTTGGACAGTTAGAAAGTGGTAGTGTAAGGCCAGTATGATTAGTATTAAGCATCTATATATAACAAGCACAATACATTTAGTAGATTAATCAAAATATGGAAGAAAGTCAAGAGCAGGAGTGCCATAATGGGAGAAAACAGGGCCATGAAAAGGAGAAAACTTCTGGGAAAAACCCTGAGGGATGACAAGTTGGAGTGAGGATGGTAAATAAATGGATGGGGGGCTTTTATGGAAAGAAAGGGTCAGAGGAAAGATTAAGTAGATGCAATACTTAACATCAGTTTAGAGTTGAATAGCAGAGGACACACCCTGTTTCTCTGACATTAAACAAGAATACTTTCAAGTTCCATACATGCCTGCACATAAGTCACACACACTCCCATTACTCTTAAGCTTATATGTAAACACAGCTGATGGCCCACTCTAACAGAAGCAGCTTTTCTCAGAACACAGCTGTGACACAACACGACCTGTTCAGCAGCTCAGAGGAGTCGTGACACCCCAGAAAGAGAAAGGCGAGAGATTTCCTTCAAAACTGAGATAAACATCAAGTCACAAAAAGGCAGTTGGAATAAATGACATATTACATAATGACATAAAAATCATCTTTAAGCTTTTTTTTCAGGAAACTGTACTGAAAGTATCAAAGTACTTGTTCTGCAGAAATATGGCCTCTGTGACTGATATATTATTATGTATCATTTGATTGAAGATTGAAGTAGATCTTGTTTTAACTACGACAGTGGTTCCCCTGCGGGTCAGGTCCCCTGCAACGGGTCACAAGATAAATCTGAGGGGTTGTGACAGTAACAGGAGAGGAAAGAAAAAAAAAAGTTTTGCTACATACATTTAAAGAACTTTTTGGACATTTTTGCAAAAGTTATTAGTTACTGTGGGGAATACATTAATGTACGGTACATCTAGTTCTGCTGTGGTGATATCAATGAGTGAAATCTTATGCTGAACTACAAATTAAAATCTACACCCTACAGTAGGTATCTACTGTATGCTACTGATAACCCTTTGCATCCAGTATAAATCTAGTTTTACTATGACAAAACATTGTCAGGAACTGTTGTTACATGCCATCTTTCTCTGCTGTTAAAAAGAAATCTTTAACATAATTTTTTCTTTCAGGTATTTATGTAGGTGTCTATTGAATCTATTGTCTTATCTTTTATTGTACCTGGGAGATTTGATGACACTACTTCCTCCAACAGACTGTGAGAAGCAGAAGCAGGATGTGGGATCCTATTGTTACTGCAGACTGTTCCTGAAAGCCCAGCTTTGGTGTGTCAGTAAAAATGAGTATGTTCACACACGACCACACAACCCCAACGGTAAAAAAAAAACCCACAGAACACGTCCACAGGCAGACACAGAGATGTGCAGACATGCCTGTGTGTGTGTTTTTGTCTTTTCTGTGGTTCATCTTGATGTTATACAGGAAATGTGGTTGCACACGTACGCAACCAAGCGCAAACTAAACTACACAATCTTGTCTTGTTGAGACCTTGTGAACCCTTTGTCCTGTAGATGACACAGTACTTACAACTGTTTTTATAATTACAGATAACATAATGCAACTCACCACATATTACACACAAACTTGGCAAGATAAGACAAACCATTTGAGGTTCGGAGAGGATTCAAAGTATGTATTGTATCCATCCTAGGACTGTACAAAATAGTTGGTGCATGACTTCACATTTTGCAAATTCCTACCTTGAGACCTTGTGAATTCTATTTTCAGCTATGCTCATACATGATATTTCAATCACAAATTCCAGTACAGCTCTCCCAGCCAAATGCACACCCACCAACGTTTGTCTCTCACCTGCTTCTTGTCCCGTGAGACCCATTTGGACTCAATTGAGCCCAGAGTGAGGCTGGGCAGCATGTGGTTCAAGACCTTCGCCAAAAAAACCTGCAAACAGCGAAAAAACAACACACAAGCGTTTCAGTTTATTTTCACACATCAACACCTCCCTGAAGAATGTTTCTATCTCTCTCTTTTTTTTCTCGCCATCTGCCTAGTGTTACAAAGAGAAACAGTCATGAAATTGTGAGTGTCTTCTGTATAATTCACCTGTTTGCACCCAGTGTGTTTCTACTGTATGTTTCAGTACAGGATTAAAAAAAAAAAAATTTCTTCTTGTTAAAATAGGTTAATAATTAGAAAAACATCTTTCTCCTCCTGTGCAGATTTTGACACCAGCTTTTTTTGGCCTTGAAAATTGGACACACTTGTATCTGTGATTCAGTAAGAGACAGCTAATGCTGCTCAAGTGGTACACTGATTCTTGAAACATACAAAATAAAAGGTTTCAGTATTATAGTCATCACCCACGGCAGGGCTGCTCGGAGTAAGGCGACTGACTCCTGGGTTAACTGAGTACTTAACTGAATAGTGTGACTCAATTAGGAAGGAGAGAGTTAAAGTGAAGAGCAGCGGAGAGAATGAGGGCACATTATGTGGTACCTTGAACGGTGTGGCCGAGTCTGGGTTCATCTGGACCATCGGAGCAATCAGAACCACTCCGGAAAAATCACTAGGTCTCTCACATGCCGTCAGAATGGAGATAGCACCACCCTGAGCAAGAAAAGGACAACATTTCAAACAAAGCACTTGCTTACAACAGGGTAGACAACTTATTTAACAGACTTTAATAAACAAAGACTTGATCATGGACATCTCATTTTAGTAAATCCATGTCACAAGCTCTTTGCTGGCCATTGTTATTTGTACTGTGAGGTGACCATAGTAAGCATTAGCTGGTAGTACCAACTGAGAGTCATGTGACCTGATATCGGCATTTCGGAAGCCTTACAGTTAATTAATATATATTGCATAAAAAAAGTAGCATGATTTGAAAGCTACACTTAACATTATCACAGGGGAGGAATGTATCTGACACTTGGACAGAGCAGCTTGGGCAATGGCAGAATTTATTTGACTCTCTTGATCTTCAAAGGTAAATGCAGCCAATAGTGAAGAATAAAGTAGTCCAGTGACCCAGTCTGATGATGGAGAATCACAAAGAAAAGAAATAACAAAACAGCACATTAAAGCAATTTGAAGAGTTAAAAATGGAAGGATGGCGTGTTTCAGCGAAGAGTGCGGGGAAGATAATACGTAGCAGAAGACAGGGAACGTCTTCTCGCTAACAGGAGAGGGAAGATCTTTGCAAAGTAGGTGAGAGGTTCTGATGCGAGGAGCAGTGGGAAAACTTCTCAGAGGTCAAGACGAACATTAAACAATCCGTCTTTTGTTTAGACGGACGTGAATTTCCACCCCGCTCTTTTGTTGCTGTTGCTCTACACAGACTGGGGGAGAAAGGCGAATGCAAACCCATGACCCTTAGGGGCACGATGAGCGCTGTGTGGCTGCGGCAAAGAGCTGCATAAGGCCACACCTTGGCACCCATGCTGACATTTAGGATTGTGATTTAAATCCTGTGATGTAGGGCCATGATAATTAGCAGCTCTGTGGCGGCCAAGACTCAAATCAATTTGCCATGGTTTGTCGTGGTTTCTGTTCTCATATGGAACAAGTGCAAGTGTGAGACAGACACACACGATCACAGGGATTCTGTATGGGTAAATCTGTCCTTCTCTCTCTCTCTCTCTCTCTCTCTCTCTCTCTGGAGACTAATTGGCTTCAACTTTGTTTATGTGAGCGTTCTTTGTCACTCGTGTGAATATTCATCAGGCTGGGGCCAATGACAGGCTCACTTCATGAAAAGAGGCACTAAAAGACAAAACATTTCCCACCAGAAAATCTCAGTTTCTAAAGCACACACTCACTCACTGCCGCCTGCATGCATATGCCCACACAGAGTTCTTCTCATTTTCTTTACACACACATTCCAGCACACACTTAAAGACAAGCTTAAACTAAAACATTCATGTGTAAACACCATGGAGCACGCAGATGTTACTCGATCAAATAGTAAAATTTCTCTTGGACGATTCAAGCTGCCCAAACCGGCTGGACATTTGCTTTGCGGTTAAATATAACAAGATGACTGAATGTAATTTGGTGTAAAGGCCCATTCTGGGTCATGCCTTTTCACATACACACGCACACGTTTTGTCTAGTGGCCTCCAATGATAGAGAGAGATAAGTTTAAATAGAGAAGAGAAGAGAAAGAGAGAGTGAGAGAGAGGGAGGATTGGGACAGAGGAGCTCTTTAAGAAGCAGATTGGAGGCCTCTGTACACGTTCTCTCTCTGAACTTTACTTGATAGGATGAATACTGCTATTGTATGTTGTCTGTCCTCCAACAGTGGGTGGACTTCAACTGTCAAAAATTGCCTGAGGAGCTAACATACTGACATTTTATAGACTGTACAGCTTCATACTGACATTATATAGACTGTACAGCTTCATATTGGTATTTTATAGACTATATACAACTAACACACTGGCATTGCAAGGTCTAAATAGCGAATCCACTGACATTATGTTAACTAAACGGCTAATACATGGACATTATATGAACTAGGTAATAGTATTGTTAATCAGGCTGGAAATGTGAGGGGATGGCAGATGACCCTTCCAGGTTGCATACATGAAATCCCTAAATAATGAGCAATCCTTGATTGGTTTATGTACAGAGAATGTGTCTAGATTCATTTAGTGGCAGTGCGGCTAAATTAAACAATATGTCAGTGAAGGTTTGTTTTAATCATACCAGTCAATATAAAATTCACTGTACTTCAGTTGTTGTACAAAATGTGACACTGTTCATCTGAAAGCCGTCGTCAGTTTCCCCATATGAAATGTCAGAAATGAAGAAGCCTTTTTGTTGGACAGCAGTTATGTTCAATGAGAAAATCCAGTGATTTTGATTCATCTCTTTCTGATTAAACAGTTCAACAAAAGATCAAATAATTCACTAGAAAGTAGACAACTGTAGACAGGACAAAGTGGGAGAGTGAAGAGGTTACGCACAAAAACGTGGCAAGTGAAATACGGTTTAGGGTAAGAAGAAACTGAATAGTGAGTAATAGATACAGGGAGAGATGGAGGGTTGAAAAGCTGACCAAATACACTGATGGCCCTAAAGGCTAAACAGAGACAAACCATTACATAAAACTCTGGCACTAAGGAAGTAGGACAAATGAGCCTCGGCCAGAAGTACTGATGGAGAAGGAGAGAAAAGAGGAAGAGTGAGAACGAGCCAGACCTGAAGGCATTTGTCAGCATTCCCTTGAGCTGACACAACACTGACAAACTGCTACAATTATTGAATTACTGCTTAACCAAAGAAGGTGAACTGTGAAATAATCAGTGTGTTGTACCTGACATAGAAGCTACAAATGTGTACCTGCAACCGATTCTTCCTTAGGACATGATAAACTATGTCTTCACATCCGCATGCAGTGCTTATAGAAAATTACTGAAGAAGAAAAGAAAAAGAAAAGAAGACTAAGATCTTACAGCTTGTGGCTCTGTGAGGCTAACATGCTCACAATGACAATGCTTACATGGCATTTCTTTGACTGTTACTTAAATGTATCTACTATGCAGTGCCCTCACAAATACCACAGTGGAATGAATAAAGTAGTTTAAATGGCTTGTACACTACTTTCGGCGAACAATACCACAATACAACATATTTTATAGACACAAAATTACAGTTTAGACAACACCTGTCAGCAAAGACAGAAAATGACAATGATTAATTGTTAATTGTGTTAATTGTTGTTAATTGTGTTAATTGACACTATCAGGTGTCTATTATGTTGGAAGAAGTGAAGAAGTGACATCTATAATGTCTAATATCTTAATTTAGTGTGTTAGCATGCTAATATTTGCTAATTAGCAGAATGTTTTGCAGGTATTTGGTCAGTATTGGACACATTAACCCCAAGTCATTCTAATCCATCAAATAGTTGTTGACATATTTCACTCTGGACTAAAGTGGTAGGCCGACCAACAGACCCACAATGCAATGCCACTAGCCTGGCTGATTAAAATAAACCCATTTAAATCTACACAAATATTATATAAAATATATATTTAAATCTCATCCTCGTTTGAATTTGTGTGAAAGTGGTGCTGGTGATGTGTGAAGAGTGGGACATCTTTCTTCACTAAATCGACACTGTGGCTGGGCTCTACTAACTGCTCCACAGTCTCCTCAGGATGTTATCACTGGAGCAGCATCTCTGCACATGCTGTAGAGCCCACAGGTGGTTTCCATTGTTTTGTAGTTTTTGCGTCATCCCGGCCCTGTTTAACAGCCCTGTTTCATATGAACGCACGAGCAGAGGAACAGACTCATAGAAACAGGATGAGGAATAACAACACTGGGAAGCTGGGGAATGAGGCCTGTAAAAACATAGTGGAAAAACATTTGATTTGGGTTGGGTTTCCCAAACATTACGTGTTGGTTTTATTATTTATGTTTCCAAGGAAAGGAGAGTAGAGGAAAGGAGAAAAGGGAGACAGATGATTTTTGAAGGGAGGATAAAATTAAATTAAAGCATAACAAATGAAAGGAAGAAAACAGGAAGGCACGGTGGAGGAAAGACATGACAGGAAATGAAAGCAGATGATGAGGACAGGTGGACTGGCTTACATGACGGCACAGAATGAAGACAAACAGATGGAGGGATGGAGAGAAGGTAGGAAAGAACAGAGAGAGAGAGAGGGGATGAGAAACTGACTTGGGTCAGCTCTGCCTTAATATTTACAGACTCCGATGTCTAAACAGGCGCTTAGACTCAATCTGGGATCCCACAGTTTAATTTACACAAAACTATTTGCGTCTGTGCTCCTACAACCTTGGATTGTTTTGAACGCAGCCCCAGTCTTTATATAAATACAGTCCTGCTGCCTGGTAAAGCATGAGACATAAAAGGGGTTGTAAAAACAGACTCTTGAATTAAATGGAGTGTTGTTTAAAGCATCTAAAAGCCCAACTGATGCTGTTTAATATGACATCATTTACAAGGAGAAGGTGTTGTCTTGAATGGAGGACAGTTTGATGTAAAACACACAGCCTAAAGCCTCCATAGCAGAAAAAACGATTTGGTTATAAAACGATGTTGAACGTGGCTTTGTGCAGTGTCTTTTCACAAATCATTAAACAATCATTAAACAATGAGGTTCTCTCACTTTCTAAGCAGCCATCAATTCTGCAGATACAAAGTCATTTATTAAATCTAATGGTAGTAATGTAACGGTATGTAGCGAGGCGCTACGCAAATATGAATTGAAGATTAAAATTGGTGAGATGAAAAGAAAAAGGGAATATGAATTGTTCTGCACAGTTTATAGCCTACCTCAGAAATAAGAAAGGATTCTTTAATTTAATGAAGATATATTTAGTAGTTTTTTTGTCTAAGAAATAAAGGAATCTTTTTCAGTGTCTTAAATCAAATTGAAAAAAAAAAAAACAACAACTCACTTTTGAAACTATAAGTGTTAGTAAGTCATTAATGAGTTAGCAAGTCATTAAAAAGGGGTTATGTTCACAATATACTATCATGTCTAGTCACGCAGCACCCACTGGGATCCCACTAGATTAGGGCAACAAAGGAGACAGGGGCTTTATTATTTTTTTTTTTTTTACCTTTGCTTGTTAAAGTGGTTCTGACAGAGATCATTTTCAGGGTGATTGGTAAAATTGGCACACAATTTTCTTCCAACACTTTGGGTTTGAGGAAACAGTATGTCCTTGCTATTCTGATAGCGAGATCATGAGTTCCTGTAGGGACTGATGAGCTGTTAACAAATGTGTATCTCGTTTGAGATGCTCACCAGTTCTTTTCCAAACAGGTAAGGGGGAGTTCTTCCTGATAAATAACAAAAGCTAGTTATAAAGACAAAGCTAGTGTTATGCTGAGGGAGTACAAACACCAGGAAAGGGCATTTCTCCCCCAACCCAAACATTGTTCTTATTAAGGACTTATTAAGCATTAATTAATAATTTATTAACATTACTTTATAACATATAAACCTTCTATAAATGTTAGGTTACTAAATATACACAAGGATCGCCCTGAGGGTAAACAGTCATGAAATTTTACTGACAACATTTCAACAGGCACAAATAGAAATATACTGTATTTTCAAACAATGTAGATCTCATTTTTCCACAAAGCTCTTCACATCTGCTGTAAAAACCCTTTTTTCTGTGGAATCCAGCGTGCCCACTAAATCACTGCTGTGCTGCGAGATAACAAGGCTCCACGCTTCTCGTGGCAGTTCTGTAATGAATTTGCATTCATCCTGTGTTCCCTGCTCGAAAGGAGTCTTCCAGCTGTGAGCTAAAAGACTAAAAACAGTGTATTTGTGTTGAAATGTCTCTCGCTTACACAGGTGGTGCTGACTTCCCTCTGTTGAAATAATGACTTGCTTTGTGACAGTGATGTTAGCTTCTTCCTTATATAACATGTGCCCATATTGCACTGCAGACATGCAAACACGTGTATGTTCTGTATGAATAAAGATGTATGCTTGTTCATTCAACAAAATCCACTTCATGGGAGTACATATTGACTCGACCTAAAAAACACTGACAGTAATCACTTATTATATAACTCATCACTACTGTTTGTGTTCTGCTAGCTATACTAAGAGTTAGTGGGTCACAGAGCACAACAGTGAGAGACAGAGCTGTTGAATGCAGCTTTGTGAAAAACTGAATAAACTGATTAGTTAAAAATAGTTCCCTGGCTGGTCTGGATGCTTTTTGTGTCCAGGCGTTATGTAATTTTTCTCAATGAGAATTCTAGTCCGACAGTCTATAGATTTCACAGAGCCACATGTAAGACTCTTCAAAGACTTTCTGATGCAGTCTGCATTGAATTTAACACCATTCCCAAGAAAGCTTTTTTTTTAAAACTGATAGAAGCTCTGATGCAATTAAAGGGAAGATCAAGCACATGGGAAATTAATAATGTATTTTATATGTTTTTGTATCTGGACCTGTTTTGAATGTTCACTGCAAACAGCAGCCTATGCAGCACACAATATTACAATACAGAGATAGCCTAGGAACCAGATGACTCTGCTGAGCTCGTGATGCCATTCTGCTGAGGCCAGCCTCGTATGGGGGAGTCTGGAAGTGATTGGCTTAGCTTAGGGGGAACTACTAGCCTGTGAAATGTAAAAATGACAATTTGTGGTTTTAGTTGGAGTTGGTTGCAGTTGAAAGTATTTCTCAAACAGTACTTCTGTGTTGAGTGCCTTTGGCTGTAGCGCTGGTTGCCTGGCAACGTCATTGTGACAACAGTACTCAAGAAGGTCACTGCCTGACTGCCGTTGTCCACCAAGAGATAGTTACAATAATGTTGATAATGGATTAATTGTTAATGGGGCAAAAATGCCAAACATTTGCTTCTCATTTGATACTTTTCTCTACTTGTATTTGTGTAAATTGATTATCTTTCGGTTTTGGACTCATTTGAAAAATGATAGCTTGGGTTGTGGGTAATTTCTTTTAAGGCAGAAGTTAAACCGTTTGGGAAATATACTAAATGCTTTGTCACAGAGAGTTAGATAAGAAGATTGATACAACTCTTATGTCTGTATATTAACTATACAACTATATATCTGTTCAGTTCATCTTAGCACAAACACTGTAAACAGGAAGAAACAGCTAGCCTATTGCTGTGCAAAGGTAACAATGCAATCCATCTAACAGCCCCTCTAAAGCTCACTCATTAACACTGCTGATAGGTGCATCTTGTTACCAGGCTAGCTGTTTCCAGTCTTTGTGCTAAGCTAAGGTAACAAACCGCTAGCTGTAGCTGCATATATTAGAAAGACATGAGAATGGTCGATCTCCTTATGTAACTCTAAAGCAAAGAAGCATAGCTCCCAAAATGTCGAACTATTCCTTTAAAGCTGAATACTGAATCAGTTGATTGAAAAATAATTGACGGATTCATTAGTAATGAAAATAATCCTTACATTGTTCTCTCTGAAGAAAACGACTGTACATATACACCTGTTGTATTAACCATATTGTAATACCTATAAAAACCTGACATTTTCAAAAAACAAAATAGGATAAAAGGTGAATAATAACACACAGACACTGGCACATAAGGTCATTGGAACATTACACAGATTCCTGGACTGGCTGGGGAAAGTGAGCACCCTCTCTCCTCTGTGTCAACAAATACATCCGCATTGCCCTTGAGCAGGTCACTGAACCTGTAACTGCTCTGTTGGAGGTTTTTGGTAAGCCAGCAACAGCAGCTGCAGGGTGTGCAGAATCTGTGTCACTGTGCAAAAGGTAAGCAGGAGTCTTCTGAGAAGAGCCAACTTAGCAAACCTTCCCTGAACTGTTTGTGCATGAATGGTGGAATTTGTCTGTCACACAGGATTAATGTGCCTGGTGGTAGGACCAAGACACAGCAAATAAAATTAAAAGTAGGGTGTTAAAGTCTTTCACAGCATTATTTCAAAGATTTCATTCCATCAGAGCAGAACACCATGCACTATTTTGGGACATAAAACCACTGCATACTGAAAGAGGAGTGCGTGCCACTTCTTTCATTTGAATGTCACAGTGTCGCAGAAAACCTCTTAACACTGATTGTGGTATTTTTCCTTCCTGTGCTTGAACAGGGCTTGCCCTTCAATTTCATGCAGCTGTCTCTGTCTTTCTGTGTGTGTCAAGCACACTGTACCTGGAGCTCTGAAACAGCATTCACATATATTTGCACCAAACAAAACAGGAAAACAAACCTAGACATTAACGGGAGTTGCACTCTATGAGCTCTTTTTTGAAATACAATAATGTGATTAAAATAAAACAATGGGAAGTGGCCTACCATGGAGTGCCCCACAATGAAGACGGGCAGGTCGGGGTGGCGAGACTTCATCAGGTCAATGTGTTGCAGGGAGTCTCTGATGTAAACCTGGAAATCTTTGATGTTCATCCTGTCTCCTTCGCTCTGTCCATGGCCAACTGTGGAGGGAAAGAGGGAAGACGAAGAAGAGAGCGGTGTGAGGAAACTGGTGCTGCTATAAGATCTTTGCACACCTCAATTTCAGGATTTGAGAGATTTTGTTATACTTAATAATTTAATATCTAAAGGAAGCAAAACGTAATTTCTGTGGCCAACGAAAAAATGTATTTAAATATTCAAGGCCTTCCTTGAATCACAGCTACAACTTACTTAGCAGGCTATAGATTACAGTTGAAATTGTCATACTGGAGAGATAGAGAATAATAAAAAACAAAGCAGACAATACAAAGGAATACCTTACTTCTTAAAAGACAAAAACATGTTTCTTTTTAGGTCTTTTAAGGATTTGCTGAAAGGAATATATGGGAGGAACGAGACACTTTTTCTGAAGAGCTTTCCTAAAGAGTTCCTACCCACCAGATGGATTTTAAAATACTTCCAGTATTCGGCATTACATAAAACACTGTTGCTTTGAGGACATTCTCTCCCAGAGGTGGCGATTTCCAAATATTACTGATTCATCCTCCCGTTTAAAAAAACCTTCGGATCAGTTGATGAACAACAGGAACGAGCTTCAATTGGGGACAGATGGAGGGACAGACAGCAGTGGGGATGAGTAGGGTTGAAGTAGCAGAGAGGGGAGGGATGTGTGAATGAGGAAATAAGAAAGGGGAGGGAAAAGTCAGAAGGGAAGGAGGGATGAGGGTGAGGGTATAAGGGAGAGAGTGCAAAGGAGAATAAGGATGAAAGGAGGGAGCAGGAGAGGAGAAAATATGAGGAGGTACATCCCAATTTCCTTAATGCAACCATGTTTCCATTACTTACGTCTTTTCCTTCTTTTAGACAAAGTGTAAATTATGTAAATATATCTCACCTTACGCTATGTTTCTACCCAACAAATGGAAATGACAATACGTAATTAAAATGTGTCTATTGCTGAAAGTCAACCAACCCCCTCCTCTCCCTGACTAATATTATTATTCATGATTAAAAGGGGAAATAAAAGATCACGAAGACACACATCTCAGACCAATAGATCCACTATTTTAGAGGAAGTTTTGAGATGAATCTGTAATTTGTCTCTTCACAGTATAAAACCGTAGTCAGCTGCAGCATCCAATCACTAACAGAGTTCCAGTAAAGGGGTGTATTAGTCTGGGAAAAGGCTTCCTCGAATGTTGGTCTCATGTCATGTCTGCTCAGAGATCCCTCCTAAATCCTCAGAGCAAAAATAAGAGATATAATAAGACTCCTACTGATGGTGGACCAGAAAGAGAGGAGTGGTCAAATAAGCGAATAAGCATGGACCTGTGGATGAGGGCGACAGGAAGGAGGGAAAGAGTTAGATTGAGGACAGAAACAGGGGGGAGGAAGAGAACAGGATGAGAAGCGGAAGAAGAAGAAGAAGTGAGTGGAGAGAATAGATGGATGAGAAGTGAAATCAAGCGGAAATGGACAGAAGGTGGGGGAAGACAGGAGAAAGAAATGTGACTGACAGATGGAGAGGAGGAAAAATATATGAATATGTATGTGTGTATGCATTCATATATTGTGTGTGTGTTCTGCTCGAGCTTTCTGCAGCAGTGGCTGAGAGGTGAGGCGGGTTGCCATGGCGACCATTGAACCAATAACACCACTGAGCTCCTAAATATTCACAACACGAGCAGCTCACACCTTCTTGCTCTATGATATTAAGTATGTGTGTACTTATAAATACTGTATGTGTGTGCAGGATATATGAGGATGTCCTCACACTATATGTTTGTGTCCTCATTGATACTGAAGCTATCATCACAGCGTGGAAATCAATGTCCAATAACAGAGCACCTCAAACTTCAGATCGATGCACACTATATCCCCTACCCAGATCAATGACCGCACACTCCACTGAATCCACATCTTTTGTTATTATGCTTGATCAAGCACACACACACGGTCAGATATTCACACATGAGCACACTGAGCTATTCAATCCACACAAAGACATATAAATAATGCACACAGATCCACAGCTGTATGATTGGAAGAGCTGCAACAGACAAAAAGCAAGTATTCTCTTACTTTCTTGGTAATGAGTTAATTGATTATAATACGAAGCCAGTTGTAAAAGTGTCAAATAAGAGGACGAATCCATGTTGTAATTTTCAAAATCCAATCACCATACCTGCTGCAGGAATAACATCAGTTGTGCTTGTTAATTATATTGACATGATTACACTGATTTTACTGGTGACCAGAGCAACATAATGTCTCATAGAACCATTAAGGAATTATGGTATAACAGAGTTTGGGCAGCAACTAATGATTATTTTAATTATCAATAAACTACATTGTGCAACTACATTATATTGTGTTATAAACCATTATCAATGTTTGCATACTGCTCATCAATTCTAAGTAGGGGGACTTGAAGTAAAGTGTTACAGTTAAGTAAGCAGCAAATTCTCATAATTGAGAGGCTGGAATTTAAATGAATCGATTACTGCATTATTTGTCATAATCCTGTTGACAGATGAATTGATTAATCAACTATTTGTTTCACCACTAAACATAAACTTGGCTGAAAAACAAAATATACATTAAGTTGTGGCACTGCTGTAAGAGTATTTTTTATGGATGTTTGTTACAACAGTGCTTGGTGTATATAATGGTACAAATTGTGTGTTTATTGTGTGTACAATTGTATCTCTTTTACCTTTTATGCTTACCTTTTATATATATATGAAATAAATATTATTTTATCTCTTGGGGAAGATGCTTTAATTCAGTCAGAGTTGTAGGAAAAATCATCTTTACACGGACCGAAGAATTCAGAAACTTTGCAAGCACTGATCTAATTAAACATAAAACTTCCATTATTTTCCCATAATGTAATGAGAAGTCAAACACAATTTGAGCCTCATCAAACAGCATTCAGCTGTTCCTGTCTATTGCGCTGTTATAAGAGCCTCTCATAAACAATCCTTTATTAATATTTCACCACTGCCTGATAATAAAATTGTGCAATATGTTTATTTTTTTATACACACATCAAGTGACATGATATGCATACATTTCTGCATCCACATTTTACAAAGGGCAAAATGATGTGACTCTGCTGTTAAAATTTGACTTAGTTACCCACCACTATGCCATATTTGGAGGTTGTTAAATATGTGCAGTGTGTGCCAGTAAGAAGAAACCTCTGGTCTGTGCAGGATGTGAAAGAAAAAGAACTAAAAGTCCTACAATTAGAGCAAAATACATGAGAGATAGAAGCAAGTGTTACAAAGAAAGAATAAGTGAAAGATCTGAACTGCTGTGTGTGTGTGTGTG